TTCACATCAGTTAATATTGATGACCTGAAGAAATATGTAAGTACTATGAGTTATACTCTATCTTGTATTCTCCTGAAATCAGCTGTTCCCTAGAACATTACCTTGGCAATACCAAGGTTCTACCGACCATGTATAGGCCATATAAAACTTCCATTTAAAGATAATGTAATAGCAGTTACATGCTTTTGACAACAAAAGGAATAACACTTTTATTTTGTTAGTTCAGTAAGTGATCAGTTAATTGAGCAACATATGGCATTGTGCTAGGCTCTGGATATAGCCCAAAGACAAAAATAAATGCAACTGCCCTCAAGGAGCCTACATTTCATTGGAAGAAACATGTATACATATTAGAATGAAGCTCATTGCAAGTGGGTATTATTTCATTCTTTGTTACTTATATCCCCAGTGCCTAGTATAGTACATAACATAGTAGGTGATTAATAAATACTTGTTTCTTTAATTAACATAAGTATATGCAAAATAAATCATGATAATGCAGAATAGTCAGATCAGTAAATGTCTCATGTAGAAGATGATGCTCGAGCTAAGCTTTAAAGGAAACTCAGGATAAGAAGAGGTGGAAGTGAGAACAGAATATATTCTAGGCATGGAGATCAACCTGTGCAAAGGCAGAGTTGGGATATGGAATGTTGTGTGTGAAGAATGGCAAGAAAGTCAGTTTGGCTGGAGTGTAAGGTGAAGGTAGGCTAGAACATCTGAAGGACTTAAAATGCCAAACAAAGAAGTTTATATTTTATCCTAGAACTACTAAGGAGCCACTATAATTTATTGATCTGGGAATGACATGGTCATTCTCTGTGCTTTCAGGAATATCACTTTCAATTTGTGTTGAGAAAGCAAAGATTTAAGGAAGTCAAGTTTTCTTATCATCAGTTAGGTGATGATAAGAAAACAGAGATAAGGACCATCATGATTACACAATAGGCTGCCGAAAATGTAGACTGAATTAAGTAAAAATAAGAGGATAGTATAGAAAGGGCAAAGGTAAAAACCAAAAGACTGGTGATTAAATTTGGGAAATTATGCTAATAAGTACAATTTTGCTAATAAATACTGTCACTACCAACCTGCTATTTGGAACCTATTTGAAACTGGTATCTGAACACTTTGAAACCTTCTTGGAAATCTGTGACTTTCCATTTTGCAAAATTTTGAAAAATATTGCCTTAGGGAGAGCTATTAAAATTTCTAAAAATCTTGAAAATCTTGGTGACTGTTTTTTAGATTATTCCTAAGATAAGGTCATATTTTAAATATTTTTGGAGGATAGAAGTAAGGCAAAAGGAACATTAGATATCAGTCTAATATTTTCATTTTATAGATAGGAAAACTGAGACATAGGAAGCTAAGTGATTTGCTCAAGGCCTTACAGCTAGTTATTGTCAGAACTGAAAATAGAACCCAAGTCTCCCATACTATTTCTTAAAATCATGTTGTTTCCTACGTCAAAACCAATTTCTGGAAAAATGAAAGTTGACAATGGACCTGAAGAAATTAACTAGGAAAAAATATTCCATCACTTGAATGATGATAAAACAAAATGTGACAATATGCTTTCTTTCCCTTCTTATTGATATAAAATGCAAAAAAATCAACAAAATGTTCATAAACATCATTCAAATCTCCTTAACCAGATATTTTCATTTTATAAAACTATTTCTTTTAAAGTAGTATCTATGTAAAAATGAGATTTGAACATTCATTATAATAATTCATTAAGTATTAAGTAATATAGCCTAAGCATAAACTTGATTTTTTCCAAATCCTTTTATAGCCTTATCCAGGAGAGAGTAAAATCTAGCCTGAGGGACATATTTGGCTCCCTAAACCAGTTAGTATACCTTTGATCATATATGTATCAATAAAAAAATTTTGAGATCTCATTTCTAATATGTGCTTATTTGTTTACTATATGCAATTCCTACTGTACTCATATATAATGTATATTATAAAGCATACACAAAATAGGAATTAAGATGAGAAAATGAAATAAAATTTTTCAAAGCAATTTTTATTTACAACTGATTCAAAATCCCTTTTTGCTGTCACTAAAGTATTCTTTTCACTAAAACAATATTAATATTTTTAGTGATGGCAATGTAACTGAATGTTTTATTCTTTTTAAGAATCTTGGTTTAATATTTGTGATACAGTAATATATCATAATATGTCAAAAGTGAAAGGACTGAGGATACCACTGTTAACTTCTTCATTTTGTGAAACTCCCATTCTTTTCTCAGCATACATTGAGGGACATACATGGCATGTGACTCTCTGATGCAATGAACTTATTGAAGGCATCAGTATAAATATTTATGTTAAATAGTAACAAAATGTAATTTCTTATTTTTTAATTTTTATGAACATTTATAATTTAGTTTTCCAAAATGCATACATATGTCAATCATACCTTGCTCCTGTGACATCTTATTAATCAGTAGCACTTGGTTTTCTGTAGAAAAGCACTAGGAGCTAAGTGAAACACTTGGATCTTACTATTGACCAATGGGAAGCATGGTATGTGGGACAGTGTTTCACTTGGTTAAGGATGTCAGGTTAGAATTCTAGGCCAAAAAGAATGATTGATTGAAATGAGCCTCTTTGATTTGTTATGTCAACTATTGTATGAATTACCAAAGTAAGCAGTATTGCAGTAACTGTGGTGGAACACTTGATTTAGGGTTTGCTTAGAAGGTTTTACTGGCCTTGTTCTATGTTTCCCTTTTTAATTCACACATAAATAATAAGGCAACCATAATTTCTCAGACTTTTTTCATTTGAAAATTATGCTTTCCTGCCACATCCTGAAGCTCTTTTTCTGTAAAATTTTTTGTATATATCTCATTACTACTTAGATTCCAAATTTTTTTTTTCTTCAGCCTCACAGAATTTTGTAGGAACATTTTCATCTTGGGTCATCTTCCCATTGCTTGGATTTGAGGTCTTGAGATGTCTGAGTTAGGTCTAGAGGAGGGGTTCTAATCCTCTATTTCAGCATAATAGGTTTCCTTTGTAATCCTATGCATTTTTAATGCATTAAAATATTCTTAGAAAGGGTTCAAAGACTTCACCAGGCTGCCGAATGGGTCCATGATAAAAAATGGTTAAGAACCTCTGTGTTCAAGTGTTATCTTCCTTTTTTATGAGGAGTATCTAAATTTTGCAAGTCTAGCTCTTTTTACTAATAGTCTACAACTGGTTGCAATGGGGAGTTAATTTTTCTGACAAGCCTTTGAGAAACATGGCCTGAGTCCTTCTGTGTCGCACTGGATGGCTGGCTGCATCAAAGATCACAATGGAGACTATTCTCAAGGGTATCTTATCTGTATACTCAGTCATTAACACTTTCATTTTCTTTTGCTGCATCTGTAGCAACTCTAGACTCATTCAGCAACCACATCTATTGGAATGATAGAAGCAAATCTTAGAGAGCTGGGAAAAGTCAACTTAGAAGACTGAGATCTGTTTAGGAGATGAAAACTCAGTATCTCACTTTTTTCCCTCCACAGAACAAAACTGTTCTATGGTTATCTTCAGAGTTGTGGACACTAAAATCTGTCTCCTATGATTTTCCAACTTAATTTATTGCTTTTTTTTGATATCTTGATATCCATATTAGTTAGAGATGTTCTTTTGGAATAATTTTCCCAGTCATGGTTCTCTTCTTCTCAGGTTTTTCCATTGTTGTATCCTGTTTAGCATTTACAGCCCTTTGTAACCTGTCCCCACCTTACCTTTATAGCCTTATTACACATGACTCTCTTTCATATGCTCTTCAGTCCAACCAAGTTGACATTATTACTGTTCCTTATATACTCTGTCTCCCATTTCTGTCTTTGCACTGCCTTTCACCATGCCTTTAATATGCTCCCTTCTCATGTCCACCTCTTAGAATCCCTACTATCCTTCAAAGTTTAGGTCAGCCCAAACTTCTACATGAAGCTTTTCCTAATGATTCTGGCTGGTAGTACCTTCCTCCTCCTCAAATTATCCTCTAGCTATTTTGTTTACACTTTGTTTACACTTGTAAAATAATATGCAAGCATTCTAGGGACTAATGAGGTACTCATTCCTTATGGGGAAGAAATGTTCAATCTTGGTTGTTCGAGACTTAGGGACAAGAAAGTATGAGATCTTGTGGGTGGAGAGAGAGTAGGAATTGACTGAGAGTACTATAGCATAGCTATAGTGAGAGTTCTCACTAACTCACTGACTAACTTCCAGGAAACTATCTCCTTAGTCCTTCAAGGCTTGGGGAAGGTGCTAAATTCCTAGAGGGCAGATAGCCTGTTTCACTTTTGTCTTTGCATCTTTGCACCTAGCACAGTCTCTGTCATGTAGTAGGTGACTACTAAATGCCTGCCAATTGATTGTCATCTTCCCTCAATCCGCTGGGTCCCCTTGATTTGGCTTGGCTGTTCCTAGGGGCTATTCATGTGCTACTCTACCTCCTTGTCTATTGTTGCCACCTCCAACTTTATTACTGCCACCTCTCACATCTGTCACTATATCACTTAGCCTGCATCTGTCCCCACTGCCACTACATCTTTCCAGCCCTTGGAGAGAAGGAGTGATGGAGGACAGATAGAAGAGCCATCTGCTGTCATATTCAATGATGCTGCTATAGCCCACCAGGGAGAGCTGCCTCTATTAGAAAATGGTAGTGGTGGGAACAGAAAGATGCCTTTCCCATACTTTCTTCCTGCACCCCCATCAATCATCTTAAGAAACCTCTGGGGTGCATAGCTCTCCCTCTTTGGAGACTACTGCTCTAGTGTGGTGTTTATTGAAAGTAGATATAATTCTAGGACAGTTTTTAATATGGAAAACTTAATTCTCCTCCCTTGTATTGGAGTGAATGTTAGTTCACAGCACAGAAGAAAATTTAATGCATGTGAAATAATCAAGACTGTAATGAATATTAAAAGAGTATCCTAAAAGTATTCTTCTCCCTAAATGTTTTCCTTTCCCTTTAGGAAGTGAAGTACAAGCCATGCCACTATGTTTCATCAATGTTGCCCCAGCAAAATGAGATGGCCTGAGGTTTAGACACATTTCTTAATATATCAGTGCTACATTGAGGAGTTGCTGTGCCATATATGTGGGTAGATGTATATTGTCTATATCTATATGAAAGAAAATATGGATATATAACATAAATTTACGTTTGGTTCACATAGATGTGTTTGCTATGAATGAGCACACTTTAATAATAACCTGAAAAATTTATTCCAAGCTATGGAACTAGCTCAAATTCAGCCCAAGAGATTCTAAGGGTGTTTCCTGTACATGTGCCTTATGCTGCTTCTGTCAGAACAATTTTGAATATGTTACAGTGTACAATGGTCTAAATAAAAGCTTTTGATGTAAAGTCATGCCTTTGTCCAGAGAAGCCTCATTTTCTTATTTATAATCTCAATTGCCAGTACTTTAATTTACATGTTGCATAATTATACATGGGCTAATATTTTCCATAGATATTGTGATGTTTAAAATTTTTTATTTAGTACTATATTTTGTAGATATTTAATGTATTCATAATATCTATTTTAATTCTTTGTAAGTGACTGTTAGTGGTGATGTCTACATGTATAAGTGTGGTAGAAAAGACAGATGTGACCTGTATTGTCTTCTACATGAAGATCTGTTGTTTTGCCACTCTAGCTGTAGATTGTACGAGTGTTTTTTTCTTTTCTGTTAAAAATACATCTATCTTTACCTCATAGTCTTTTTAGGGAAAAAATTAAAACTTTGACCTCTTCTCTCATGAACCCACTTTGAATCCTCCATATCTAATCTGTGGCCAAGACCTATTGATTTGACCTTTATAACATCTCTCAAATATCCCCCATTTTTTCCTCTGACACTGCTACTGCACTGGTACAGGCTTTCCTTGCATCAGGCTTGGACTATTGCAAGAGCCTGCTGGTGGATCTATATCTCAAGTCTCTCCCCACCCTAATTCATCCTTTGTTCAGCTACTAAAGTGATTTTCCTAAAGCACAGATCTGAACATGTGATGGCCCTATTCCTTAAATTCTAGTGGCTCCCTATCACCTACAGGATTCAATATGGAATCCTCTATTTGGCATTCAAAGCCCTTCATAACATAGTCCCCTCCTACTTTTCCAGTCTTCTCATACCTCACCCCCCACCACATACTCTTCAATTCAGTGACGCTGGCCTCCTTGCTGTTCCATGAACAAAACACTCCGTCTCTTGGTTCCAGACATTTTCTCTGCCTGTCCCCTGTGGCTGAAATGCTCTCCCTCTTCATGTCTGCCTACTGGGTTTTTTGGTTTCCTTTAAGTCCCAATTAAAATCTCATCTGCTACAGGAAGCCTTTCCCTATCCCTCTTAATTCTAGTGCCTTCTGTCTTTTAATTATTTCCTATTTATATAGAATATAGCTTTTTTTTTACGTATGTGTTTACATATTTACTCATTGTCTCTACCATTAGATTGTGAGCTCCTTCAGAGTAGGGACTGCATATCTCTTTTTGTATTCCCATTACTTAGCACAGTACCTTAATATATGTTTATTGACTGACAGACTGGAGTGGACAGAGACCTGATGCAGGGAGACCAGCCAACACACTCTTGCAATAGACAGGGTACGAGATGATGACAGTCTGCCCTAGGGTGGTGTCTGTGGGAGTGAAGATAGAAATGACAAGATTTGGCAGCAGATTGGATATATGGGATGAGAACAAGTGACAAATCATGGATAACAATGAACATATAGGAGTTAGAGTATGGTGGTGCCTTATATTGTAGTTGGGAAGATGGGCAGGCTTGAGAGGAAAAATGAGTTCTGTTTTGGTTATTTTGAGTTTGAAGATGTTTGTGAGACATCTAGTTTGAGATGTTCAGTAGGCATTTGTCTGGAGGGAAGTTAGAGTTGAGTAAGTAGATCTGAAAATCATCAACATAGAAATGATAATTGAATCCATGAGAGCTGATGAGATAACCAAGTGAACTGCTGTAGAGGAGGAAAAGAAGAGGATGAAGGACAGAGCACTGGGAGATACCCATGGTTAGAGGGTATAACATGGAAGAAGATCCAGCAGAGAAGACTGAAAAAGAATTGTCAGACAACAAGGAGACTAGAGAACAGTGTCCCAAAAAACTAGAAAGAAGAGAGTTTGAAGAAGAGGAGGAAGATTGACAATGTCAAAGGCTAAATGATTGGGAAAGGCTATTAGGTTTGAAAATTAAGGGACCCTTGGTAACCTTTGAGAGAGCAGTTTTAGTTGAATGATGAGGTTGGAAGCTAGACTGTAGTGAGTGGGAGGAGAAGATGTGTTGGCATTGATTGTAATTAGGAGTCTCAAGGAGTTTAGCCATGAAAGGCAGGAGAGATATACAAAGATAACTAATAGGGATGGTGAGTTTTTTTTTTTTTAGGATGGGGGTGACATTTTTATAAGCACCAAAGAAACAACTAGAAGATAGGGAGAGATTAATGATTAGTGAGAAAGTGGGGATGACAGATGGGGCAATCTGTTGGAGAAGACAGAATGGGATCACTTGTGCACATGGAGGGTTTTGCTTTTTCAAGGTCAACTCTTTATGTGAGGCAGGGGTGAAGGAGGAGATAGTAAGGAAGCTATTTGAGTGATTATAGATAACAAAAAGAGTGAGTTCTTAGTAAATGGCTTCAATATTTTTAGTGAAATATGAAGCAAGGGTTTTAGCTGAGAAGGTGGGAGAGGGGAGGGTTTCCATGGGGTTTGAGAAGGAATGAAAAAGTTTGAAATAGTTGTAAATCATGGAATTAAGGGAGGCAGAAATGATTGCCTTGTTGCAGTTTGGACCCAGTTGAGATGTGATCTTAATTTGTAGGAGATCTCATCAGCATAGTTTGTACTTTCTTCAGTACTATGTGAATAGGAATAGGAACTGCAAATGGTAGAAGTAATATAAGGTTGAGTCTTGATAAAGTGTTATTAGCAAGGGATTTTAGTACAGAAGGGGTTGAGACAGAAAAAGGATGAGAGTATAGTCAGTTTGGGGTTGATAGCCTGGGAAAAACTGAAGAATAGAGGAATTAGAAGTCATGTTGAGAATGAAGAATATGGTTAGGGGTCACAAGGCATAGACAAAGACAGTATGATAAAAGACTATGATCAGATAAGGGTATAATCATCTGTGTAGCTAAGGTGGGGTAGAGGTCATGTGAATTTTATAGCTTGAGGAATTGGGAACTTAGGGTCATTGAGGTAGTATCAGTATATATTCTGAAGTCCTCTACTATTAGGGAAGGAATTGGAGATGAGAAAAAGACTATGATCCAGGCACTAAACTCATTGAGTAGGGAAGGAAAGTGTTCTGGAGGTTGAGATATAACAGCCAGCAGCATCTTGATTGATTGATAAATTTGGATTGAACAAACCTTAAAGGAGGAAAGATCATTAAGTGATAGCAATAATGGGAAAGTAAAGAAGAGGAAAAAGACTAGTCAGGGAGTACAACTGAAAGTAAAACTGGTCCTGGAAAGGGTGACCATGGATGTAGTGTCATCAGGATGGAGCCACATCTCACTGAGAGCCAGCAAATGAAGGAAATGGGAAAAGAAAAGACTCAAGATGAAAGCAAGTTTGTTAACTACTAGAAGGTGACTGAGACAATGACAGCTCTTGTGTTTCAGGAAGCATGTAGCTAAGTGGAGGGATGAAATGGAGGGGGGAGAGACTTGAAAAATGAAACCAACCAGAAGTCTAGTATGGTAGTCAAGGTACAAGGGACTGCACCAGGGTGGTGGTGGTGTTGGAGGAGATAAGGAGGAATATAGGAGAGATATTGCAAAGGTAAAGTCAACAGGACTTGGAATGTGAGAAAAAAATGGAGATTCAAGGATGACACTTAGGTTGTGAGCTTCAGTCATTTGATAGCAATAGGAAAATTAGAAAGGTGAAGAGGTTAAGGGAAAAGTTAATAAGTCCAGTTTTGGACATATTTTTCTAATAAGTAATTGGTAATGTGAGCCGGAGGTCAGGAAAGAAGTTAGGGCTGGATATATAGATAGGAGAGTTATCACCACAGAGGTGATAATTGAATATGTGGGATCTGATCAGAACACCCAATGAAATAATGTAGAGGGAGAAGAGATGAGGACCCAGAATAGAGCCTTAGGGAACACCCAAGGTATGACTAGATCTTCCTAGTAAAGATGGCCAGAGAAGGTAGTCAGACTAGTAAGAGATGAACCCAAAGAGGTAGGTATCACAAAAACTTAGAGAGGAGAAATATCCAAGAGAAAGTGATTGACAATGTCATTTGGTAGGTATGTAGAGGTCAAGAAGGATGAGGATTGAGAAAAGGCCATTAGATTTTGCTTAATCAAGAGATTGTTGGTTGTGAGGGACTGTCTGATGTTGGCAGCTATCAGGTTGGGCACTGTGGCAAGGGTAGGGTAGGATCTGGGTATTTTGGAAGTCGAGGCAGGGGCTGTGGTAGGCAGAGTCGTGGTGAACTGGGATGGGCTGGATACGGAGAAGCCCTGAGGCAATGGGCAGTGCTTTGTGAGATAAGCTGGGTACAAGGAAGTAGCCGGAGCTTGAGCTCCTGAGGCAAGGGGCGGTGCCATGTGGGAGTGGGACGGCAGAGGACTGAGTTCCCTTTGCTTAGTCCCCTCCCTATATGCAACGTCATCCCCAGACGCCTCTTGTGACCTTCCTGACTTCCTGGGTCCCTTTGCACAGCACTGACCCCAGACCCCTCCTGAGTCTGACTTCCTAGGTCACGTACTCTTGTCTATGCGTCAATCCCAGATGCCTCCTCCCTGTATCCGGTCCTAGCCTCCTACGTCACTCCCTCCCCCTTGGTGTGCTAAACTCAGACAGCCCCTTCCGGTATCTGACCCTACAATCATTGGCTAGTAAGCGGGCTGGGGAGGAGGGGCTAGGTAGGTACTTAGAACAAGCGTGGTCAGATCACACACGTGTGCTCTCCTGGCTCCTGCCCTGTTGCTCTGGCCTTGCTGCTTGGGCTTGCTATGATGGCTTGCTGTGTTGGCCTCTGAATAAAGCTCTGGTGTTGGCGCCTCCCGATGGCTCGTCTCTGTGTGGTTATCCGGCAGAGGACCGAAGACTGGAGTGTGAGTAAGACTCTGGTAGTGTGCTTTTTATAAGAGAAGCGGGTACCGGCGTACGGCCGGCAGAAGGTCGGCGTGCGGCCAGTATAGTTGGTACCTTCAGAGAGAGCAGATTCAGTTGAATGAGAAGGTTGGAAACCAGAATACAGAAGGTTTAGAAGAGATTGAAAGGAGAGGAAACATTGATTGTCGATGGCTTTCTCGAGGAGTTTGACCATGAAAGGAAGAAGAGATATAGCATGATATAGTAGGGATG